TTATTTATTATTTATTTTTATTTATTTATTTATTATATTTTTATATGTATGTAGCATAAACAAAATCACATTTTGTTCAAACTTCAGGTTAAAATTTAGACTCAATTCAAATCGTGGTGAATTTACAACAAAAAATATATATATGTACAATATACATACATGTGTGCGTAAATATACAACAAAAACAATAGAAAATAGCCAGCTGACACTGAAACAATGAAAGTTGAAGATCGAACTATCGCCCATCTCTAACGCGCTCTGTTTACCAATAAGCCGCTGCGCGCGTGTATGCGTGTGCATGTGCATGTGTGGGTGCGTATGTGTGCGTGCGTGTGGGATGAGCTAGAAGAGAAAAATGAAAACGGCGCCAACGATAAGTGAAATTCGTGCAAAGAGAGCACGAAAATCGAAGACAAAACGCAAAGTCAAACGAACGCCGCCAATTGAGACCATCGGAAAGAAAATAGAGCCGCATGCAAAATACCAAAGAAAATTGTGGAAAGTTCATAAATAAGCGAAATAACGATCGCGATCGCGATCGGGATCGAAAGCGGGATTGGGATTGGGATTTTTGCCACAGCGCAATTTAAATATAAACAAGTAAAAGTGAAGAAAAACGCGCGAAAGAAGCAAAAACAGCGAGGGAAAGAAAGGCAGAGCTACATAGAGATCGCGATCGAGATTGAGAGGCATGGCGAGCAAGCGGCTGAGTCTGATGCTGGAGGAGCAACTGCACTCCAACGATGGCGTCGCCAATCTGGAGCAGCGCTCGGCCAAGCGGCACAAGGCGAGCGACGAGTCGCCATTGCAGCGCATGCTGCAGCGTCAGATCTCCGGCGGCAACTGCACCGTCCACCTCTCGCCGATCACCGAGCTGGCGCACAATATGCGCGACACACAGCTGGATGGCGGCGGCTGCGGGACGCCCAAGTCGAGCACACTGCGCAGCTACAGCAGCATCTCGTCCAGCTACGACTCCAGCAACTCGCTGGATGACGAATATATGGCCATGTTTGAGCTGGAGGCACTGGAGCAGCGGCCGCCGGACAAGCTACCCGGCGATCTGGATGCGCTGATCAGCGGACAGCTGAAGAGCACCAGCGTGTGCACGGAACGCAATCGCACCGTGCGCCGTTGCCTCAGCATGTCCGAGCAGCAACTGGAGGAGGAGCAGGATCAGCAGCAGCAGCAGCACGATCAGCAGCAGAAGATTTCATCTCTGGCCGTGACGCCGGTTAAGACGAGCAACGTTAGCATGCGCAAAGCCGCCTCCATGAACGATGCGGACATCATGAACGCCCTGGCCGACGAGCCGGAGCTGATCGGGGATCTCAGTAAGCCGTGTGCCCTGCCCGTGCTGCTGCACGGCGTGCGCCATCGCGATCTGAAGACCATCTCGTGCGAGACGCTGGCGCGTCTAATGCGCGGCGAGTTCGCCGAACTGCAGAATCACTACCAGATCATCGACTGTCGCTATCCGTACGAATACGAAGGCGGTCACATACGTGGCGCCCTCAATCTCTATACGCGCGCCCAGATCAAGGACGCCTTCCCACCGTGCGATCAGGTCGCTGGCCAGCATCGCATCTACGTCTTCCACTGCGAATTCTCCTCGGAGCGTGGACCGAAACTGTTGCGCTACTTGCGCAGCAACGATCGCAACGAGCACACCCACAACTATCCCATGCTCGACTACCCGGAACTGTATCTGCTGCACAACGGCTACAAGGAGTTCTATGCCAGCTATACGGATCTCTGTGAGCCCTGCAACTATGTGCCGATGCTGGCGCCAGCCCACAATGAGGAGTATCGTCTGTTTCGGGCCAAGACCAAGTCGTGGCAGTGCGCCGATAGCGATGGCGGCGACAGCGGCATTGGCGGCACAGATGGCCACTCATCCTCCTCCTCTTTGTCCTCGAGACGTGGACGCACTCTGCACAAATCACGATCCCGCCTGCTCTATGCCGAAGAATAGAATACCCAGATGCATATGGCCATGATGGAGCTCAAGCAAATGATCTAGAATTTAGAGTGTCGTTCTGTTGCATTGATGATGCGCAGCGTTGCCAGACTGTTTCAACGATCGAGCCACTCGTATAAGATCTATTTAGTTTAGATGTTTAACCCAATGGACGCAAATTTGAAGTTTCGTTAAGTTGATGCGTTTTCCCATATATGTTAAGTGGAATTTATGTAATTGTTTAACTTGATTTTACGCTTTACGGTTAGCTGTTAACGGTTTACGATTTACGGTTCTGGTTCATTGTTAACAGTTCTCAAATGTTACCCCAAAAATGTCCTCTAGTCAGTGCAACAAAATTCATATATTTAAGCTATTTTCGATTATCATCCTTATGTATGTGTGTGTTTCTCTTCCATTCCTTCTTTATTTTCCTTTGGCGTTTAGTTAAATTTAGTTTTTCAAATTTTCTTTATGTTTAATTATATTGATGATAATAAAATTATTCGAAGCAAACAGTTTCCAAATCGGATACAAATCGCTTTTTAAGCTAAGATTTCGATCATATATTTCTATAATATATAGGATTAGGTGATCGTTAAACAAATGAAAGTATAATCTATATATGGAGCTTATTTGAAATTACAAAAAAAAATAAATATTTTTAATGTGATCTAGAAAATAAGAATATTTATGTTTAAATAAACTTCTTTTAATATAATCTTAATAAAATGTGGAAATATTGAAAATGATACCTTATACTTTTATTGAAGTTATAATTTAAAAAATAAAATGCTGTAATATAATTTCCCTATGTGGGTGGAGCTTTATTAGTTATGCCTAATATGAAACAATATTCAAGGTATTTTCTAGTCAGGCACTGTCATTTTAAAACGTTCTAATTTTATTAAAATATTGAATGCAGGCAATATATTTAAGCAACTAACTTAAACATAAATCTTTTCTGATCTATATTTAAAATATATAATTAAGAAACATGGCTTACAGAGCGATAGAGAAAAGGTAGGATGTCATATATGTATGTAGACCTGCGAATATGTATATATGTAAGTATGTACATATGTGTATGTATGCAGACAAACACTTTGGCATTTCACAATACTTTCGCTTGCCACGCCTTTTACTGCTGCTGCTCCTGCTACTGCAGATGCCTCTGCAGAGAGATAATAAAAATGAAATATTGCCCGAATGTGTTCGGTGCAACAGCTTCAGTTCAGCTTCTCTTTCTCCTTTCTCTCTCTCTATCTCCCTCTCACTCTCTCGTAGCCAACTTGGCTCCTATGTATTGCCACTGCCATTGCCATTGCCATGAAAATCGGATAGCAGACATATTTTATGTTGGCTAACTGGCAAAAGAAACTACGAAAAAAAATTACGTTTTATTTATTGCCAACAGCGGAATATTACGAATATTACACAAGAGACCGCAACGGGCGCCAACTTTCACCCACCGCCAGCCGCCAGGAGAGAAAGAAACGCATATCAAATATGCATACATATACAGATAGATGTGTGTATATGTACAATATATGCGGGATAAATCAGCTGAACGACAACTGTCTGCATACATTCCTATTGCAATTAATTACTCTTCTCTTAACTACCCGCGCATGCTCCTACATCTTTTTCAAATATGTATGTGTGCCTCTTCGTGCATGTGTGTGTGTCGAGCACAATTAGTGCTCAAGTTGAGTATATTGTGTGTGCTGGAGCGAGCGTCAACTCAGTGAGGTGAATACTACAAACTCACCATCCTTGTGTGTGAGCAGAGGGGAGAATTTCAACTCCTAATTTTATTCCCTTCATTTCATCAGATTTTAGAATAATTTTAAGTTTACATAAAAAATATAAATAATGTATATTTATCAGTTAATATGCAATTTTCACTTTTACATTCAACTCAACTTTAATTGTACAATTAATAACATCTAGACTAGGTTAGTAATCCACAAAGATATTCAAATAGTTCTTAAGGCTTTTAGGGTGAGTCGAAAGGCGCCTTGAAGCCGGCCTTGTTGTAGAACTCCGCTGGAAGAGCGTCGTCGGCATCAAAGAAATCCGAGTCCCTCGAGCAGCATGGCCCCAGCTCCAGCTTGACGATAGTGTCGCCCCAGAAGCTGAGCATCTTGCGCTCGAGCAGCTCGTCGCGCAGCTTGACAATCCACTCATTGTACTCCCAGGGCCCGTAGAAGCCAGCGTCGCTCTTGTACTCCTGCAACAGCTCGGCGGCCTTCTCGAACTCCGACGCGGTCGGCGTGCCCTCGAACAGTAGCTGCCAGATGGCTGTGCGGGCCGCCTGGCCAATCTTTTCAACATTCTTCTTGTGCACCTCGTCGGGCACAATGACGGTGGTCAGCACGTATCGCTTCATCAGGTCACGATAGTCGCTCAGCGGCTCTTCTGCACCGATGCGCGCCTCAAAATCGCCAGCCAGAGCAGACGCATTATTGGAATCACGCTCGACCTCATGGCTGCCATCCTCGTCACCGCTGGCGGCAGCCTTCTCGGCTGCGCGCGCCTTCAGGCTGGCCGCGAAGGGCGCCACACAGCCGGCATGGGCATAGAACTCCAGCGGCGGCTCATCCTCACTGTCAAACAGATCCGAGTCACGGGACCAGCACGGACCCAACTGTTTGGCCACAATCGTATCCCGCCAGAAATCGAGGAGCTCCCGCTTCAACAGCTCGTCCCGCACCTTCACTATCCACTCGTTGTACGGCCACGGCGCATAAAAGCTTGCGTCACTTTTGTGCTCTTCGAGCAGTTCGCTGGCCTTTTTCTGTGACTCAGCATCGCCGCACTCGTCGCTGAACAGCAGTTTCCATATAACGTCGCGGGCAGCACTGGCGATTCTCTTGAAGTTCTCCTTGGTCACCGCGTCGTCGACTATCTGATCGACCGTTACTTTCGTTTCGATGAGTCTAATGTAGTCCTTGAGCGGCTCTGCGGTGCCAATAACGAAAATGTTCTTCGGAAATTGTGAAAATACCATTTAATAATTCATTCATTTCCGAAAATCCACATGGCTTACCTCCTGATCTGTGGCATTCGTTTTTGCTGCTGTGGATGTCATTTCGTCTCCCCCTTCTGCGCTGTCGGCTTTGCGTTTTGACATTCCTCTTGATTGTTGTCACTTTGTAAGGTTTACTTTTAATTTCACACTTGTTCGCAACAATCGATAAATAGCAAAAAATTACCAAAAAATACGCTTTTTACTCCACAATTTCTTAAAATGCTCCACATTTAACAGAATTCAATACTCTTAGCATGGTCTCTGTTAAGAATATGGTATTTTAACATTAAAAACGTACGGTCACACTGATTGCTTTTAACAAAAAATATTCGTGCTTGAGAGTTTACGCTTGTCCCCAATTCTAAAACAACTAATTTAAATTGCAATTAGTTGCGCAACAATTCAATTGAGGCGTGTATTGAGCTGCAAATAATCGTGGGTGCATTTATCGCAACATCAAGTGTTGTCCTCCGGCTGTGTTTCGTCTGTGTCCCATTCAGACTTGGTGAAAAAGTTTGAGGTTACAATATTTGACCACGGCAGCAAGAAGCCACACGACGTGTTAATGCCTCCCGCAAGCAATAAATTACCCATTCAAATAAATATAAAACATTTCTAATACGAGTGTAGCAGACACTAAAAAGAGCCTGCAACCAAAACGAAAATCCAAAAATCAATTGCATTTGTGTCTGTGTTTGTGCGTGTGAGTGCAAGTCCAAGTGTGTGCGTGAAATTCCATACTCTCGTACTCGAAAGACAACGAAAAAGTCTCAAAGTTATACTCAAATGTGTATGGCAATTGTGGTAAGTGCACAAATAGTTGCCCAATAATAGTAAATAGATCAAAGTTCATGTATTTAGGCCGAAAAAGGGCACAGCGCATGCAGACAGTCCATGTACATGTATTTGTGTGGGGAGTGTGACCAAAGTCAGTAATTAAATTAAATACCATGTCGACGAAGGGGGTTCATTGCCTTGCAACGATTTCTCTGTTGTACTTGCTGCACTTTGCAAAGTAAATGCATCCTAGGGCGTGACTGGGTTTGCTTTACTTCAATTGAGGAAACTAGTTATCCATTATCCTCTTTGTTTTGCTCAGTGTCCGTCAAGTTCATGGAAAAGAAAGGCAGATAGTAATGCAATGAAGTAATGAAATACGATTCATGATGAAATACACGCAGGATTCATCCTTTTATATATTATTCTCAATTCTGAATAAATCACGTCATTTGCATTTACATTTATTTTAATGACGGACTAGGCAAACTCGAGCTAATTAGTTTCGCGTGCCTATTTAGTTAGCTTAATCTACAAATGCAATCTCTTGCTATCCCTCTCTCTCTCTCTTACAGGCACGGAGCGTGCTGTGCCTGTGGTGAATTGGCATGAGTCGAAAATTCGCCAACTTGTGAAATGATTCAGAATTTGGATTAATGCTTATTCAATTTTAGTCCACTTTGCCTATGAGGTATTGACCCACATGCACTTGCATATACATCCATATATGTATGCATATATATGCTATATTAAATATTTATGTACATTATGACGTCGCTAGATGAAAGTAAATGTCTGCACTGGATTGACCCGGTTACAGTTATAACTGAAAGTAGCGCAAATGCAAAACTAGGGCATGACCAGCACAGACGAAGGAGAACAGAAACGCTCTGAGATGCATACATAGATATATGTATAAAAGTATGTGTATGTATGTACGTATATATGCCGATGCTCTAAATTTGTGTTTACTTTCATTCGCAAATACAAATCGTACTTATGTATGTATATATAAATGTATATGTATGTATGTAAATATGTATGTACGTCAGAGCGCTCACTAATATCTAATCTATATTAAATGCTCAAACAGATTTATCATATCAACGTCAACTGCAACAAAATAATATTTAACCAACAAATAGACGACGCAAAAAGATTCACTTGAGCAAAAGACGAAAAAAAGATTTATATTCGGTTCAGTTGAATTTCTTTCCGAGCAATTGAGGACGCGATATACATCTCCATTCCGCCTAGTTATCGTATTTATTTTTAAACACATACACACACAGGTAGAAACAGCAATGAACATAAATTTATTATCAGTTTGCATCGGTCAAGAATTGCCTGCTGGTATGTGCACTCAACTAAGTTGAAAGTTATTCTTTAGTTTATTCATTTGTATGTATGTAAATATATAAATATATACCGATAGTATTTATACATTTGTTTTTGTCTCGTCTGCAAGACACACAAACATACGTGCAACTCTTTGTCATTTGCGTCAATGCGAATAAACAAATAATCTAAATGAACGGCCTAGCGTAACTGTAAAACAAAAGCCAGCCAGTATTTATTTACATACAAGCATACATGTACGGTAACCAAGTGCCTAATTGTAACTTTAAATAACCGTTAATCCAATTGCATATGTAGCTCCCGGTGTGAACTCTCGCTCTCTCTTCTCGCTCTTCTGTTTTCAGTTTCCGTTCGTAGCGCTCTGTACATTCTCTGCGATATTTGCGCTGTCCTTGAACAAGTTCAATGATATTGCTCAGCGCATAGCATTAGTGTTGTTGCTGTTGTTTTTTCTTTGTTTTATTTTTTGATTGTTTATTCTTAATATTAAAATGAATAGAGCGGTGGATATACGACATGTACGGTCCCAATCAACTGTATTTAATGTTATTTGATTTTATTGTCTGCCTTCTCTACGTACGCCTTGTGCCATTTCGAAATTTGCAAATGCATGTACATATGTACATATGTATCTTTGTACATTGCGATTTCATATATTGTATGTATGTTTATGTTTATATGACAGCTCGGGCATCCTTCAAATTTAAATAAAATATTTAATTTAGCTTTTAAAGCCAACAATTCACTTAAGGCACGTCTGTGTGAGTGTCGACACACAGAGATCTTTTTTCATGTTTCTGCGATTAGATTATGAAAGCTGAATACAGATAATATGAAATATTATTTAAATGTCTTCCCCTGGCGAATAATTTATTTTAATAGACAGTTTTTCGATCGAATTTTGTCTGCAAAAACTATTTGTCAACAGCAAGTATATACATATATAGTATATATGTATATATTTTCACTATTGTCACGTTTCCGGAAGGCGTGCGATTTGCGTTAGTGTGTGTATGTCATATCTAAATATAGAAAAGGAAGAAAACGACCAAAACATGCAATATTTACAACGTCAGTTGCCGTTATTCGCTTGCCAAAGGTGGGGGATGTGGAATTGGGAACTGGGAGTGGGAGTGGAACGTGGCACAGGGAGAGATAAAGAGAAAGAGAGATAGAGGCGACACTAAAACCACGAGCCAAGTCTAAATATAGTTAAGCAAATATTGTTGTTGTTGCTGCAGCCGGTGTTGTTGTAGTTATTGTTGTTGTTGTTGCTGTTGGCTGCCATCTAAAGGGAAAACTGCATAAAACGACGACAATTTTTGACTGGATAACCTTGCAAAGGGTTCTTTGCTGGCATGTGCAAGCGACATTTACTGCGCGAAATCGTTCCTTGCCTGATGGGTACGACAAAAAGAGCGAAAGAGAGAGAGAGAGCGAGAGAAAGAGATAAAAAGTAATCAGAACTTGTTCTTTAGGTATTCTATCTGCGGCACAAACAACGGTTGTATCAACAGCGATTGCAACCTTCAAACTGTAATCATGCTCCATACATGTACATATGTACATGTACATATCTGTATATGCATTGAATCAAATGCGATAAAAGGGCTGACGCATTTTCCGGCTCAAGACGTCATCAAAATTATTGTTGCCTTGCTGCTTGGCACCAAAAGATTATCAGGCAATAATACAAGACTCCTCAGGCACTTCACATACACAAGCTGACAAACGCCGTATCAGTGTATATATAGATATATATATAAGGCTATATACTAGCTTGAAGAGCACTTAATGTTGAGAAATGTGCGTATGTGCCAAGCAATATAAATCGTAAAAAGTTTTGATTAAAGTAAAATAGCTTTAATACTGATAAAAGACGAAAGAAAAAAAAATATCTTAAACAAAAGTGAGAAACAATGAGTATAAGGTTAGTTGTGCTCATGAGCAAACACTGAATACAATATAGAAATCGATATAATATTCAAATGTAGCATATATGCACTGCAGAATTACAACTTGCATTTTTGATCTTAATTAAAATTGTGAAGCCGGCTAAAATGTTGATGTAAACAAATAATTATTTTTGCTTTAAATACTAGAACACTGCCCCACATATTACGTCATTCAATTGCGCGAATTATAGTTTATATAAGTTTTATATATGTATGTATAATTTGTAGTGTATGCTTTATCTATTTTAGATCTTTTATTCAATCTAATAACATTAAATACAAGGAGAGAAACATGCAAGAAAAAATGAAAATCATGCACAAAAATTATTAAGTTCAAATTGAAATTATTAAAAACGCAGAATTTCCTTGTAATACAATAAGATAATATATTTTCATGAAACTAATTAATTTAAAAAATATATGTATAAAATATATTTTATTATTTTGTGGTCATAGGACTTAGACAAATTAAATTGGTAGAATATTCAAATGCAATGATATTTAATACTTTTATTTAATAACCTTTAGATAATTTTATTATTTATATTGAGGACTAACGTCAATGTTAATGTCGAAATAACTGCTCTTAGCAGTACGTAAACAAATTATCTATAAACTAGGAGCGAATATTAAATGCTATTTAGCATTCATTTTTCCTACGAGTATAAAAATAGAACGAGAGCTTCATCGACTCTACCTGAACTTTTTGAGCCACCTTCGATTAATGGGTATCCCATAAACATAGACAACGACCTCATTGTGTGCCGTATCTCTACCCAACCCCAAGCCTTCAGTGCCGATAATTTCCATTATGAAAGTGAAAGGGCAGACTAGCATTTTGTGTTGTGTTTACACTTGGATTAGCCACGCCCTCAACACCTCCTTTGCTGTTCATACAGTCACAACCAACAGCCAGCAGCCGGTAAATCAATATTTCGGAGCAAAGTCGCAATAGTGTCCTAGTTATTTTTTTTAGCTTTACATGTGCTCTACTTTTTGCTCAAAATGTGCCAAATACTGAATTGTTAATGCTGTTGATCAAACAACTTTATTTGCTTGAGTTAAATAAAGTCTTTTAAGGTTTTTTTTTTTTTCTTTTTTTTTTTTATAATAGTTAATGCATAGGCCATTTAATAATACATTTAAAAAAAATAAGAAAAAATCATAAGAGGATT